CAAACCGCCACCTGCTTTCTCTAGTGGGGCCACACAAGTGCTGCAAAGGCACTCCTGCTGCCCCCCCCCCGGAGCAGACCCCCACCCAGGCTGCATTCCCCCCCTTTGCCCCCCCACAAGGCTGCCCTGAGGAGCTTGCCCCCCCCCACTCTCTCCTTCCCCTCCAGGTCTGAAACCCCAAAGCCGCCACGATCGCTCTCTTCTTCCGTAACCTTTTCCCTGCCCTGCTTGGCAATGACCGCGACAGGACGAGGAGCCGTTATTTACAACCCAGCATTTCACAACAGACCCGTGTGAGGTCAGCCGAGGCTACCTGGAGCCTCCCCCGGGGGCTGCAGGTCGCGCCTCCCCTGCTTCCTGGTTGCTCCAGCCTCTCCCCTCCGAAGCCCCTCTGGGCCACGCCTTCTGGGGAGGGGGGAGAGGGGAGAGGCAGAGGTGAAGGACCCCAGGCCCAGCCAGAGAGTCCCAGAGGAAGACGCAGCCTCTCTTCATGGGGTGGAGCTTTCTTCCTAAAAGGAGACACACACACACCCCGTTAGGAAAAGGAGCCAATAATAGGGGTGGGGGGTGATGATTGAAGGCTGCTGAGTCCTTGGCAGCGAGAGCCATCGACCCACGGAACAGAAGTCGCCCTCGGAAGTGGTGGGAGCTTCATCCCTGGAGGCTTTCAAGAAGAGGCCGGACTGCCATTGGTCAGATATGGTACAGGGTCTCCCGCTTGGGTGGGGGGTTGGACTAGATGACCTCCAAGGTCCCTTCCGACACTGGTTATCTGTTATCTGAGAGAAGCTGTGCTGGCATGGGAGCACCTGGGACACCCAGGAAGGGCCGCCCTCCCAATTTGCTCCTCTCTTCTCGGTGGCCTCTTCCTTCCGTGTCCGGCTGCAGAAATTACCGGGTGGAGGCAGCCCCTGAGAGAGGCCCACTTCATCCCAGGTGGGGAAGGCTCATAGATCACAAGGCTGACTCTGGGTGGATGATCATCAGTCTTGAATGCTGATAAACCAACATGGCTAAAGTACCAAGAACAGAGAGAGTCCTCCAAGAAACTCCCCCCCCTCCAAATCCCCCCCCCCCCGGCTGAGGAAGCAGGTTTGGGGTTCCTTTGTAAGAACGTCAGGCTACCAAGCGTGCTGGGACACCCCCCCCCACCTCCTAATGGTGGTCCCTTCTGCAGCCCCAAGGCTTCCTCCGTGGGGGTGGTGGCCCCCCTTGTTCTAGCCAGACCCTTGAGAGGCGTGGCTGGACGGGGGGCCTCTGCAGGAGCCTTCCATGCGGCCATTTTGGCCTGGGTGGTCTCCAGGGAGGGGAGCAAAGCTGATCCAGTTTGAGGCCTGGCTTCAGCCCACAGCCATCGCGTGGGACGCCTGGGCTCTGCCGAGAGACCCCCAGAGAAGGAGAAGGGTCCTCCTCCCTGGCATTCCCTGGACGCAGCAGCAGCAGCAGCAGCCGCCACCTCCCCACCAGCAGCTGAGGCGCACCTGGCCCAGGTCCGAGGGACAGGCGGTGCAGGGACCCTGCCCGCAGCAAGGCCTGGAGCACCCCCGCTCCTCTTGGCTTCCCTGGGGCGGGCAGGGCTGCCAGCGGAGGGCAGGGCCGGGTCAGCCGAGCCGAGATGGAAGCCATTTCTCACCTGGGCTAATAACAGCCGGACAGAAGTAAGTGACTGCACAGTTCATTGGCGGCACTGAGATTTATCCAATCACTTTATCCTGTCATTGGTATTCGGGGGAGCTCTGGAGCCGCTGCGCTGCCATCCCCTCTGTTGGTTTTCTCCCTGCCTTCCTCCTCCTCCTCCTCAAGGAGCCAGCAATTTGGCCGGGTGAATAATTAGCTGCCTTCAGTCAGGCCTCCCCAACCCTGCAGCGGCTGACAGTCAAGGGGGCTGCAGGAGGGGGCTCTGGCTCGGGGGGGGGGCGCCCCGGGGGCCCAGCAGTCCCACCCCTCCGCCCCGCGGGGGGGGGGGGCTCTCAAAGGACACCAGAGCTGCCCTCCTGCCACTTGGTCCCTGGACGCAAAGGCAGCAGCCAAGCCAGGCCTGCCATCTGCAGCCAGCCCAGGCAATGCCCCCCTCCGCTTCCCCTCCTCCAGGCCTTCCGTTTCACCCAGATCTCTGGAGGGGGAGGGCCTATTGGGTGGGGCCCCTCTGTAGACTTCCCTTCAGCCCAAACCGGCCTGGGGGGCCCCTTCTCTAGGGCTGCGGGGTGGGGGTGGGGGGGAACCTCAACGGGGGTCTTTCATCCTCTCCTAGCTTTCTGGGCTGGGGGCTCAGGCCAGGGGAGGGAAGGAGGGCAGGTGGGCTGCTCTTTCTGTTGGACGGCTGCCTTCCCCCTTCTCTCAGCCGCGGTGGAGCCCCGTCCTTCCTGGGAAGGCAGCAGGGGCCTCTGGAGCAAAGCAGGAGCAAAGACCAGGAAGCCACCGGCGGCTTCGGCATTCCCGGGCCTCTTCTGGGGGCCCAAAGGACAGAAATCCTGGCACTGGGCAGGGGGGGGGCAGGAGGGAAGCGGCCAGCCTGCCTTTCCTTGATACAGCCGTATCACCTGCAGATTGCTTACACACACACAACTTTTAACCTAGCCTTTATGGAACCAAGCCTGGAATTGTGCGTGCACACACACACACACACACACCTATCTGGGTGTGAGAATGCCACATACAAGGTTTGTTGGCAGGCAGGCAGGCAATAGCAGGCAGGCCCTTAGAAGGGCAAGCAGCCCCCAGCGTTCACAAATGCCCCCCAAAGCTTCGCTGCGATGGAAGAAAAATAATCCAAGAGACGTTTCTGCAAGCCCCCCCCCCCCCCCCCAAAAGCAGCAGCCATGCTCGTCGGCCTCCCCTCCTTTTGGCCATCCCTGAACAGCCCCTCCCCCCCTCCGTCTGGCTCTTCTTGACCTACAGGTTTTCCTAGCGGCTCCTGACTCCTCTTCCTCTGCCCACCCCACCCCCCCATCAAAGCCTCTTCCAGGGACTGGACTGACGTCAAACATGATGCTGTTCACCGGTTCCTTCGCATCGTTGTTTGATGAATAGGCTGCATTTGCAGGGCTGCAACTTGGAATTCTATGGCAAACGTAAGAGCGGAGCCATCACCTTGCCAACAACGGTCCGTATAGTGGAAGCTCCGGTGTTCCCGGCAGTCGCGTGCGGCTGTGGGAGTTGGACCACCAGGAAGGCGGAGGGCGAAGAATGGAGGCCCTTGGGGCGCTGGAGAAATCCGCCCCGGGCAGAACCTGGAGCTGAAGCTCAGCTCCAACGCTTTGCCCACCCAATGAGAAGAGAGGAGTCCTCAAGCAGGCAGAGAAGGCCAGAGGGGGAGGGCAGAGAGAGAGGAGGTGGCTAGGGAGGGGCATCGAGGCAACGGACATGAATTTGGACAAAACCTGGGAGAAAGTGGAGGGCGGGGGACGGGGATTGGGGCCTGGTGCGTAGGGGTCCAGGAGATTGCAAAAAGTCAATGCAATGGAACAACAACAAATTCCAAAATTGCTCCTAAACAGAATCCAGCTGACTCAGAGGCAGAGGGACCTCGGGAGAACAGCTAGTCTGGCCAGCTTGGTTGCTGTTACTCAGTTCAGCCATCTGGCAGAATTTGGCAATTTACAGCTGGGCTGGACTCACCATTCACCCCTGGAGAGGAATTTGGGCATGGGGGGGGGGAATAGGGGAGAGCCAGTTCACCCAAGAGGATTCCCCACCCCCTCTGCAAGATGGGACCAGGAGAACACGACTTACGCAAGAGGGGCCGGTGCCCGATGCCCGGCTGCAAGGCTCCGAGTCCTGGTCTGCAGAGGGAGGCCGCTCAGACCTGGGCAGAACCTTCACCCCAAAGGCCTCCCTGGGCTCGCACCCTGCCCAGGAAGCTGGCAGGCAAGGGGCACGGGCTGCCCCCCTCAGCGACGGGCCGCCCTGGCCCAAGAGGGGGGGAGGGAGGGAGGGAAGAGGGCAGAGCAGGCGCCGGAGGTCCCCAGGGCGGGACTCGGAATTCAGACCCAGGGGGGGCCCAGGGCGCTCAGGGGCGGGGGGGGGCCCCGCAATGGGGGGGGGGGGGGGGGGGCAGACAAGCACGAAGGCCCCACAGCCTGCAGCCCCTCTCCCAGGAGGGGACTGCTCCGGACGGAGGCGGAGCAGCGAAGCCGAGAAGGGTAGGGTCAGCGCTCAGCCCTCCAGGGCAGAAGCCACCGAGTCGGGGCGGGGGAAGAGCCAGACTGAGTCCCCGGGGAGGGGGGGGCGCTGGCCGGCGCGCGACGAGTGGCTTGCAGCCCGCCCCTCTAGGCGCTCTAGCGGGGGGGGGGGGGGGGGGCGGAGATCCGGCCATTGGCTGCCAAAAGAAACGCCCCCAAAGAGCAGGGCGGGTGTGGCCCGGGGGAAGCCCCCCCGCCCCGAGGGTTGCATTTCCTCAAAACGACCCTCTTGCGAATTCAGGCGTGCAACGAAGCCGTTTGAACCCTCGGCCGAGCGGTTCGCGCGCTCCGGCTTCCAGCTTCTTGTAAATCAGGCGGGACTTTTTCTGGAGGGAGGCAGGAACTTCCCTTCTGTGGCCCGCGAAGCCCAGCGGCAGCCAAGCCAAACGAAGCCAGTGTGTGTGTGTGTGGGAGTGCGTGCGTGCGCGGGCGCGCGTGCAATGACAGAAAATGAAGTCGCATCCTTGGGACTTCTAGGAAAGGCCTTGCCTGGTGACTCAGCCGGCTCTGCAAGCGTCCCAAGTGGTCTGGGGCAGGCCTAGGTCAGCAGTGGGGCCCGTCCCTCCCTCCCACCCAGATTTGGCTGGGTTAAGAAAAACAAGGAACCGGGCTTGTCTGGAAGCCCCCTCCCCATGATGTTCGCATGCCCAGTGCCGCCCTGGGCCCCGGCTGGCCTCCAGCAGACGATGCCCAGTGCCGGCTTTCTAACCCCGGAGGAGGCTGAGAAGTCACCCAGAGGCAAAGCACCTTCTCCCCCCCAACTTAACATCACTTCGAATCACCCCAAGAACAGGAGAACGTGCTTTTCCAAAGGTCAGATTTATAAGAGCTCAACACGGAGCTGCGGTCCGAGAAACACACAGATGGGAGAACAAAGGGGCTCCATCCCGGCTGTTCCAAGATGCGGCCGGCCGGCCCAGGGGTGGACGGGAGGACGGAGGCCTCCCTCACAGCTGCCACCTCTAACCCGGACCGTGCCGGGAGGGCAGAGCTGGCTGCCACCAAAGGCCCCGGCCAGCAGGACCAGTCGCTGCTCTGGAGACCCCCACAGGCTGCTGGGAGTTGCCTTCCCATGAAGTCGTTGGCTTCGTTGCCCTTGGTGTCCAGTTCCCATTGGAGCCCCGCACAGCCCACCAGAGCCTCGTCCTCCAGGGCAGATCTGGGCGAGGGAGGGGAGGGGTGGGGGTCTCCCCTGGCCGAGACCCACACCGTGCCAGGTTCTTAGCCAAAGCGGAGGTGGCTTGACTCGACTCTCAGCCGGCTGGGATCGCAGTTCCGCCAAACGGCAAAGAGGCCGCCGGAAGGGTCACCCGCGTGGCAGAGCCCAGGCCTCCGCAGGGCTGCCCCTGTCCAATGGGGAGAAGGCCCCTGGCCAGCCCGGCCTCCCCACGGCTCCTGGGTCAGACCTGCTCCAGCTGGGCGAGGCAGCCGTCCTTCTCTTGCAGGCCCGCCTGCTGCCCCAAGAGGGTCTCCTGGGTGGGGAAGGTGGGGGCCTCCTCCTCGTTCTCCGTGGGCTCCAGCGGCTGCAAGAGAAGCAGCAGGGCATGTACCCCCCCCCGGTCATCATCCACGGCAGGGCTGGGGGCCACCCTTGGCCCAGGGGTCTGGCCCTGCCCCCCTCCACCCAGGAGGGCCCCCCCCAAAGGGGCACCTACCAGATCCTGGTGCCGCTCCCGAGGACCTGGGCAGGAGGAGAGAAGACATCAACCGCGGGACCCTCCGGAGGAGGCCTGCTCTACCCATTGGGCTGCTGGACCCATCGGGGAGGGGGCTGGAGGGCTGCCACCCCTTCCCTCACACCCAGAGCCCTGCTCTGGAGCAACGGGGAGGAGAGATTTTCGGGCCAAATGGGCCACTGCATGTGGCCGAGTCTCCCTCCCACCTGCCTCAGCATGTACAGACTTGGGGTTCAGGCTGGACTGGGGAACATCGGAAGCCCCAGGACCACCTCACCTCCCCACCCACCTGCTCTCTCCCTGGGGCCCCCATCTTCCTGCTCCTCCCCTCCCCCCCTAAAGAGGCCTGGGATGGGGGGGGGGCTGAGCGTGGGAAGGGTAGGCTAACAGACACCGACCGAGCCACAGAGGCAGGTTGGAAAGCCTCCCCACCCTAGGTGCAAGGAGGGCTGCAAATGGACAACCCCGAGGGCCCCCCAGGGGCGAGCCCCCCCCACGCCTCCAGCCTGTCCACCCCCTTCCCAGCATTCCATCACTCACATCCGCCAAATCGACGCCACAAGAACAGGAGGCCTCCCAGCATGAAGGCACCAAGAGGGACCAGTAGCACCAGCAGGTAGCGCTTCCTGTCCTCGGGGGGCTTCAATGGGGCGGTCTCTGTGGGAAGCAGAAGAAGGAGAAGGCTGCCGGCTGCAGCCCCCCAAATGGGCTCCCCTGCTCGGCTTCTTGGAGCCCCTCCCCCCCCGGGACAGTAGGGCACTTAGGGGGCTAAGTTTGGCAGCTGGGTTTCTCTGTACATACACACGCGCATGCGCACACACGTACACCCCGCTCCCCATTCCTTGAGTGGCCTCTGCTTACCACATGTGACGTCCGTGGCCTGGGTGCCATTTGCCTTCTGCAGCTGCCCCTCCTGGCACCTGCCAAGACAGAGCGGGCTGAGAAGGCAGCTCCGCCCCACCTGCTGCTGGGGAAGAGTGCCAAGCCTCCCCCCCCCCACCGCAGGGGCTCCAGCCAAGCGGCCCACCCAAGGACTCTGGGCAGGAGGGCGCAACTGCACCCTTTGCCAGGTCTTGGGGCGGGGGATCCCCCAGGCAGCCAAACCAGCAGCACATCCTGCAAGAGCCAGGGGCTCCGCGACCCTTTGGGGGGAGCTCCTGCATCACCTGCGCATAGGTGGGGCGCACGGTCATTTGGGTGGCCCTGTGGCTAGCTCAGGCACCTCTGGAGGGAGGGGGGGAGGGGGAGGGTCCTTGCTACTGCCTGCCTGCTAAGGACCGATGGTTGTATCGCCCGCAGGAGCGGCAATCCCGACAATCTCTTGGCCTGCAAGGGGGGACACCGTGGCCTTCCTGCCCCCCACCCCCCGCTCTTCCCTTGGGCCAGGCGAGGCGGCCATTGAAGAGGCCAGTGGCCATTCCAGGATGGTCCCCCGCCCGGCATACCTGCTCCAGGGCTGGCACCGAGCTGTGGAGGAGGAGACGTTGGAGAAGGAGCCCAAAGAGCAGGGGGCGCAGAGCGTGTCATGGAGGTGGTTGCCTGGAAATACGCGAGGCAGAGTCGCCGTTAGGCTGGTGGCCTACCCAGCAGGCAGGAAAGGGCAGGCCAGGCGCCAACCCTGCCCTCCCCCCAGCCTCCCCCCTCCCCGCTCCCCCCAGGGAGAGCCAGGACAGGAGGAGCCCCGCCCGGAGGGAAGCTTCCAGGCCCCAGAGAGCGGAGCTGGGGGCTCCCCCAGCCCTGTCCGGCTGGATCTCTCAGGGAGGCCAGGGGCTCCTTGCCCAGCCCAGGGCTCCCCCGAAAGAGGAGGCCCCAGGGCTGCTGCCCTCACCTTCCCGTTGGGCCCCTTCCCCTGCGCCACAGGAGGTGTGGGGCTTGCAAGTCTCGCACTCGGGGCTGGAACAGTGGGTGCCCTCCCGGCACCGGCAAATGAAGTCTTGCTTCTCGGTGCCATTCTCATAGACAGTCAGGCCGGCTTCTGAAAGGGGAGGGGGCACCAACAGACACGCTTGTAGCTCAGGGTTGACATGAGGGGTCCACGGAGTCGGTTTCCTTGCAGACGTTTCATGACCCAAGTAGGTAACGTCATCAGCAAACACCAACGTCATTCATGACGTTCCCTAGTTGGGCCATGAAACGTCTGCAAGGAAACCACCCAGCTCAGAGACTCCGAGGACCCCGGAAGGGAGCTGGGTATCCAGGGGAGCAAAGGGAGCCCCCCCCCCAGCTGCACTCACTCAGGTTGCAGGTGTGGTGTTGGGTGCAGTGGAGCTCCTTGGTCCAGCTGGCCTGGAAGTGACCCTCCTCACATGGGCTGCAGGTTGTATTGGACTCCGCCGAACAGGCAGCTGCCACCTTCTCGCCTGCAAGACGGGGAGAAAACAGGCAGGATGAGGCCGGGACGGGGCAGCACGGTGGGGGGGGTGGCACTCGGAAGCCCCCAACCTGAGGGGGGCTGGCAGGGGACTTTGCAAAGGGGAAGTGACCCCAGGCGCTGGATTTAGATGGGGTGGGGGGTCTGCCCCCCCGCTGCCCCCCCACCAAGGTAGCGCAGAAGGGGGCTCAGGAGCTGCTCTAAGCAGGTCAGGGGGCAGGAGAACCGGAAAGCGTGTGGGGGGGGAGACGGCTGCCCCGCACCCCCACTCTACCTGGAGGGCATCGGTTGCAGCACCTGCCGTCCTTCAACTGGTACTGCTTGTTGCTGCAGCTGGGCCCCTGCGCGAAGGCCAGGCCCTGCAACTAGAGACAGCGCGGGGGGTTAGTGGCCCCGCAGGCATGCGCCCCCCCACCCCCATTTCCTTCCCCCAGCCTGCGAGGGCCCGGAAGGCTGCGCTCCCCCTCAAGCAGCCTGGGCAGGACAGGGGCTGGTCCCCACATCTGGTGGGCTCAGCCTGCAGGGTCTGCTCTTCTCAGAGCCGCCTGCGAGGGCCAGGCAGGACCAGCTTCAGCAACTGCTGGGCTGCCCATGGGAGAGCCCCCCCCCCAACCTCCTGGGAAAGTCCCACTTCTCCCCTTGGCCTCCTGACGTAACTGGCTGGGTGTGTGTGTGTGTCACACCGGCTTCCGCTGCCCGCCTTGCCCTGGGCCCAGAAGCCAGCCTGTCCAGAGGGGGATCCCCAGTGCCAATGGGGAACCATTCCTGGCATCTGGGCTATATCCACACAGGACGGACGGACGGATGGACACGTTTCGCTTAACCTCCTGTCAGGCCCCCAAATGAGGAAGGCGGGTGCAGTTTCTTCATCTGAGCAGTTTCCTTTATGGTTCCTCACCCCACCCCACCCCCAGACAGAAACTGGCCAAACTGAAGCAACTATTTGCATATTACAAAGAGTCCCCTGGGAATCTCTAGGGAGGAGCCCCCCCCCCCCCGGCCGCCCCCCCCCCCCCCCCCCCCCTCGTTCCCTCTCTCCCCGCCAAATGAAACCCCCCCCCCCCCTTGGGGAATCCAGGCTACCTTCCCCCTCCCTTTTTTCATTCCCTGGCCCAATCCTGGTGAACTGTCATGGAGCCAACACAGTGGCCACCTCTGCCCCCAACTGGATCACAGGGGCACCGGGTGAATGGAGGACCCCCCCCCCCGCTTCACAGACCCAATAAGAGTAGCACACGGGGGGGGGGGGGGGGGGGGGGGGAGGGGGGGGGGGGGGGCTGGAAGGGCATGGCAAACCCCCCCCCCCCCGAAAAGGGCCCGATTCTGCCAGGTAAAAAGCGATTGCCGCCCTTTGCCCTCGCCCGGGGACCGGCTTCCCTCTGTGCCAGCCAGCCAGCCAGCCCGGACGCGGGGCGAGGGGGGCGCCAGTGCCTCCCTGGGCGGTGGGGAAAGGCGGTGGGGGGGGCGCTCGGGGGTCTTGAGGAACGACCACAAAGGCGGGGCGGCAACGTCTGGGAAAGGGAGCCGGCCGGAGAGATCCCGGCAGCCCCGGCGCCCAAAGGGGAACTCGGGCGGCGCCAGCCGGGACTCGCGGGGGGCTCCCGGGCCGCGTCGGGCGAAAGCGAAACTCACCGTCAGCAGAACCGCCGCGCTCAGCCCCGCCGGCCACCTTCGCCCCTCCATCGGCGCCGCCTCGGCCGCCCGCCCGACCGCCGGCCCCGGCCCGGGCCCTTTATGGGCGCGGGAAGGCGGCGGGGCTCTCGCCGGCCCATCGGGCGGGGCGCCGGGCTTCCCGGGGCGGCGCCGCACTCTGGCCGCCCCTCGCACCCGCCTGCCGGGAATCCCCCGCCGAGGGAAGTCCCCCGTCCCCCCGCCCGCCCGTCTCTCGCCCCGGGGCGGCTCTCCGCGGGGTTGTGGTGGGACGGGGAGCCTCGGGGCCCCGGCAGCCGTCGGGTCCGGGGCTCGATCGCCTCTCCCCCCCCCCCCGGTACGGTCGTTGAGCGAAAGGGCGCCGGGTGGGCGGGACGGGCGGGGGACGGAGGGGCGCCGACCCGGCGAAGAGCTGCTGCCGCTTTCCCGGGCGGGCGAGGGGCCGGTTGGGCCTCGGCCTGCGAGCAGCGGGCTTCACCTCAAGCAAGCAAAGAAAACCACGGAGTTGGAGGGGACCTTGGAGGTCTTCTAGTCCACCTCCCTGCATTCTTGGTTGCTTCTCTATTTGCTCAGCTCCCATCCTTCCTGGTACTTGGAAAACAGGTCGACACCCTTCCCTTCTTTGGGGAAGCCCCTCAGACATTGCAACACCGCTGTCACATTCGTCCTAGTTATTTTCAGATGCAGATTAACAGAAGGAACCTGTGGGCCATCTAGTCCACCCCCCAAGCAGTCCCTCCGGCCTTCCGAGCAGAGAGATTCACGGTTCCACGTGGCAGCTTGTCTGGTGAACCTGAGCACGGAGCCTGCCTCGCCCAGGCAAAAGGACTGGGGAGACCCCCCTGCAGCAGAGCCCAAACATCCTGGGAGGGGCCTGTTTTGGGGCTCTGCTTGCCCCCCCCAGCTGTCACCCGCTGCAGTAGAGGAGATGCCCCTGCCCTGGGCGAAGGCCTGGACTGGTCCTGGGGGCCCCTGCAGGGCCTGCACTGCTTTCAGGTGTCACCCCCAATGGGAGAGGGGTGGGGCCTCGCCTGTCAGGCTTCCCTGTGGGTGGGGGGCCATTTGGAGTGATGCAGCACCTCAGCTCGGAGCCTCAGGAAAGGTCACCCAGCCCCCGCTGGTCAGCTGAAGGGGCCACAGCTGTTGTCCCTCCCACTTAGGATTGGAAGCATCCCCCCCCGCTGATTTCATGGGGTGGGGTCTCCGCTCCCTCTTGTCATGGCTCAGCCACAAGCCAACTGTGGAGGGGACAGTGAAATTCTGCACCCCAAATTCTATTACTGCTCCTGAGGAAGAAAACCAGAACCCCGGAGGGGAAGACAAGGAAGCAGGGGAAATGGCCCCTCCCCCCCCCCCCCCAAGCCCGGGGTTTTCCCCCCGGCAGGGTAGAGAGGGCTGCGGCCCCCCCCCCCATCCAGGACTCAAAACCCCAGTAGGGGCCACTTCCCCATTTGGCGCTACGCTTGGCTGGAGGCTTGCTGGGAAGTGGCCCCACAGCCTTGGAAAGCCCCTCCGCACCCCCCATCTCTTCAGCAGAAAAAGCCCCTGCAACTGCCCCCCCCTTGTAAAAGCTCTATTTCAAAGGATAGGAAGGGGCTCCTGCTGTCCTGGGCACCAGACGTGCCCCCTCCCCCTTAGTAAGCTCTGAAAACAGAACATGTGGTTGGCCACGCTGAGCTGCCCCCACCTGCGGGTGCCCACCTGTTGAGACCCTTTGATTCATGGTTTGCGGCTGCCCACCTGGCTCCAGGCAATTTTTTCCTGGGAATTCTGAATGACTCCCCCCCCCCTCCGTTGGTTTAATTCTTACGGGTTTCCTGAGGATCCCTGGTCCGGCTTCCCTCCAGAAGTTGTTCATCCCTGGAGGATTTGAAGAAGAGAACCGGACAGCCGGGGGGCTGCACTAGGGCTCCCTGACACTTTCAGGGTGGACAGGACCCCGTGCCTTGGAGCTCCCGGAATGCGGGGGGTCCCTGGGGTTTATGCCCTCTCTTGGGATTCGAATCGCTGCCTTTTGTTCTGATTGGTGGCCAGGCTCCCGTGGGGCCGTGCAGGGGCAACTTGGTAGGCTGTCCTGAGTCCCAGGCTTGGTTGAGCCCGGCTGGATAATGGTGATGTAATGAAAAGGCTTTGGGCAATTCCTATTATAGCTCTACCTGGAGTAGATCTTTGTTATGTAGAATAGATTGGCCCAGGCCAGAGTAATGGCCCATTAGCAAAGGTGGGGGGAGGGCTGAGTTTCTGCTTTTCTTTTAGGGAAAGTGTTCTGCCTTCTTAGTACATCCTAAACTATTTTGTTTTCCTCGGAGAGGGGTGGATTTTAACTTCCAACAGCCCCACCAACAGGGGCGCCTGGGAGAAGGTGTGTTTTTGAGGGCAGCAGGAGAAAGCAGCCCCGCCTACATCCGCCACGCAGCCCAAGGATCGTGCAAGGGGCCCGATCAGAGAGGGTCCCACCAGCCCAGAGGGTGGAGGCTGCCAGGGAGGGGGGGGAGAAAGGTGCCCACCAGGGTTGCCAGATCTCAGCTTGGCTCTGTGGCCAAACTCAAGTCAAAATACGGCCAAATTCTTTTCTCTCACGGCCAAATTTTTTTATGCAATATAACATGAGAATGTATTGTTTTTTGTTTAACTGTTTTTAAATAATCAAATCATAAAAAATAGTCTTTATTCGTCGTGACCTGACGTCCTGGGAATTTGTGCCTTTCTTTACTCACATCCAGGCTAGGCAGCTCACTTCAAATAACCGCTACTACCGTTTGGAAAGCTCAGGGCCAAATGCAGCGATCCTGAGGAGGGGGGAGCCAGGGTATGAGGGTTTTTAGGAGGATTCCCCCCACCCCCCGATTGAAAAAATATAATCACTGAACAAATAAAACGACACAAAAATAGCAATTATATATAGAATCCTTATGAAAACTGAATGCTCAATAACCATCTTTTCAAAAAGAGAGGAATTATCCCAATAATCACATGAAAACAAAGAGTACATCTAATGTAGCAATGTGAAGAAAGAAAAAGGTAAAGAAACAAACAAACTATAAGATCAAGTCTGTCAAGGAAGACTGAAGTAGGAGCAAAGTCATGAATGAAGTGCTCTAACACAGAATGTTCACGATATCCTCGTCAATATCCTCAGGATGATCTGGTTGACAGGCTTGGTTTCCGTACATGTTCTCTGACGTGAACAGCTGAAGCATGCGTTCTGTTGCGCTGAAATCCGTACAGCACTTTCCCTGAAATTGTAGATGTGTACGAATTCTGATGATGGCGTCCAACATTTCCGTCTGTAAGCGATTTCTAGCCTTCGTCTTCACATGTGTTACTGCAGAGAAAATGCGTTCTGCAACGGCGTTACTCGTTGGTGTTGCAAGGCAGGACAGCACATACATTGCCAACTGTTCAAACGGCTGCTCACCCGCTTTGGACTTGTACTGCAACACCCCTGCCCAGAAGGTGGCTGTGTCACTTGGGATTCTTCCATCAAACACCGACTCCTCTGCCCAATGCACAAGCAGAATTCTCCGATACTGCTCCTCAATCACAGCTTCATTTGCACTTCGGAGGTGGGGCATTGGCAGATCTTGAAATGGAACCCTGGCGGTCTGGCTCAACACTTGACTCGGTGACAAGCTTCTTAGACCGTTGAAGACTTCCATGGATGCCGGAAGGCGCTTCTCGAGCTGACTGAGGGCTTCACTCAGGAGGCTTGCACAGTGTGTCTTCATCTCCGTTGCCTTGTTGAGTGCGTCAGGGGAACGATTTTGGCTATTCACGAAGGAATGAAGCTCGCTTGTAAATTTGGCCCCATAATCAATTCTGTCCAGGTCAAGTGGTTTCCCTTCCCTGTCGATGATACGACCTTTCAAACTTTTGTAGTGCATGAGCAATTCTTGCACCATCTCCTCTGGGTCAGCATTAGGTGCTTGAAAAAAAGTGTTGACCCGCTCAAATTCGGCGACGATGGGGGACACAAAGTGAAAGTACAAGGCGTTCACGGGATCTGACAACATCCCCAGGATCTCCCTGGCCTTGTACCGGCAGGAGGCATCGGCAGTGGGGACGACTGCCGAAAAGTAAGCCTTCAGCTCTTCCCAGTTGATAAGAATGTTGTAGATGACTTTGCCCCTCACCAACCATCGCGTTGCAGACAGCTTCTGGAAAGGAAGAGGCGTTCTCTTTCGCTCATCTGTAGCATCCATCACTTTGAACAGATCTGAGAATGCTTCTCTCTGGAGGATACTCTCGCTGAACCACTTGGGAATTTCTGCTAGGAGATACCCCAGGTTTGATGGAAGCTTATCAAACGCTTTCTCGATACAAAGCGCAAGCGAATGACATATGCATCGGTTCAGCTGACAATGAGGCGACTGCTCACGAATTCGAGACCACACGGAGTTGTGCTCCCCAGTCATCGCAGATCCACCATTGCTGCCGAACCCGATGCAGTCAGCCAGCTTCAGACCGAGTTCATCTAGTGTGTTCTTGAGTATTTCAAAGAGTTCTCTACCTGTAGCCCCAACTACGGGCTTTAGAGCAACAAATTCAGTCACAATATGTAACTTTGACTGGTTGAAATACCTGATGACAATACACAGATGCTTGTCAATAGCGATGTCTGTTGATTCGTCGATGAGGATTGCAAATTTTTTGTTCTTGACATCATGCTGTTGAGTCTCCTTCAAAGCAGGGGAAATTACTTTAGAGATAAGTTTACTGCACTTAGTGCGATGAACTTGAAGGTTTGCTAGTTTGCTACCTTCCCCATTCTTCTTCATAAATTCTGCCAGGTGATCAACAGTGGATGTTGTGCAGTGACACGCTATAGTCACAGCAAGCTCAATTTCTATGCGTTTGGTTATCTCAATATCCTTGTCTATTTTCGGTTTCTGAAAAAAGGGTAACGCTGCACAATGAGAACTGGCACTTGCTCTTTCTGTATGCCCCTTCGTTTTTTCGTGGTCCGAAAGGCGAGAAAGCTTTGGTGCGATTTGTGTCTTGCAAAGCCTGCACAATCCGTGTTCACTTCCATCGCTAGATTTTGTGAGCCACAAGAACTTTTGTTCCCAGGATTTCTTATATTTTCTACCACTGTCATATTTCCCTTTCCATTTTCCCGTTGCTGCCATCTTCCGTAGATGTAGAGTTGTTCACTTGTTCGGGTAAAATATGGTTTAGAGACTAGGCTAACGCTAAAGTAAGGCTTCCGCTTGCTAACATACATGCGCTGTGCACATACACATTACACATAGCTGCCTTACCACGCATGCAGAGTACACGCACAGTGCGTTTAGCTAGCTTACATGTACCACAGGCGTATTCTCTCGGTTGCACATCCGGGATTTTCCGTGACGCCGCGCCCGGCTGGCGAGAAAACAATCCAATACTGAGCTGTTTACATCCGGGTTAACATCCGCTTATATTATGCAGCGCTGTTCACAGTCAGAAGGCTTCGGCCTGTGTAGCGCGTCGTTTTTCAGAGGTTTTCAGATGACCTGACCGTCATTTTCATGCGAATATATTGTATTCAAAACCGGTATTTGGCCAAAATGTCGATTTCACGGCCAAGCAACTTTCAAATGGCCAAATATATTTGGCCGGAGACATAATTTTTTTTCAGGGCCAAACAGATTTCTATAAAGGCAGATTTCTTGAATTTGGCTGGAAAAACGGCCAGATGGCAACCCTGGGCCACCGTCCGGAGACAGAGCTTCCGGCCCCTCCCTTCCGGCCAGCTGCCCTGAGGATTGTGGGAGTTAAAGTCCGTGGCGCCGCGAGGGAGGCCAGACGAAGGCGCAGGGACGAATTGGCCAGCACCGGAAGGGGCGGGACCGCGCTTGCGCGGTCTCGCGACGCGGGGGGGGCGGCCCGGAAGCGGAAAGGCCGGCCACACCCTCCGGTGGGCGACGCGTCGCGAGGGGCGAGGAGGCCGTTACAGTCTGGTGAGGCGAGAGCAGCGCGGCCAGGCCGGGCCTCCCGGTGAGTGAGCGAGCGAGCGAGGGAGCGCGGCGGCGGCGGCGTGAGCGGGGCGGGGCGGGGCGGGGCCGGCGCGTGCGGGCGCTCCTCCCCCTCCGGGAGGCCGGCAATAAACGCTCCTTCCCGCCTGTGCCTGTTGTGTTCTTTGGCGCTCGTGCCCGACTCCTCCTCCTCCTCTTCTTCCTCCTCCTCCTCCGCGCGCGTCCGACGGCCCCCTCCCCCCCCCGCAGCCCCGGCATCCCCGCCGCCGCCGGCCGGGCCTTCTGGGCCTTGGAGTCTCCCGGCCTGCGAAGCGTCGCCGCTCTCGGAGCCCTTCTCCGGCGGCCTCCCCGGGCGAGGAGGGGGGCCCGCGGTGGGCGAAGCGGCGGCGGCGGCGGAGGGCCTCCCAGCTGCCGCCCCTGTCCCCGGAAGGCCCCCCGCCTCCCTCCCGGAGCGCCGCCTTTCCCCGGCCGAGGAGGGCCGGCGGGGAGCCTGGGCCGCCGGTTGGGGGTCCTCCGTCGCCCTGCCTGCCGCGGAAAGGCTTTCCTGCGTCCGCCTTCGGTGTTTCGCCGCCTGGATCGCCGCGGCCGCATCCCCGGATCCCTTTGACGGGGCTTCGCCTGGGAGGCGGCGGGAGGCGCTCCGGCGAGGCTGCGGCGCCTTCCTCCCTCGGCGCCGACCGGCCTTTCCCTGGGCCGCCCCCGCCCTCCCCGGCCAGAGCCCCGCGCGCCTCGGTGTCTGCGCCTCGGTGTCCGACCTCGGGACCCCCCGCCCCCGCCAGCCACGTGCTTCCGGGGCCCGTCCTCGCGGGGCGTCTTTGGTTGCGCCCCACCCCCGTCTCTCCTTCGGGGCGCCGAAGGGGCGGCCGGTGGGCGGCTTGGGACCCTCCGGAGAATCAGATAACAACAGATAATCAGCTGGAAGGGATCTTGTAGGTCATCTAGTCCAACCCCCTCCCCTTGGAAGCCGCCTGGGCTGAAGCTCCCACAACCTCCGAAGGCAACTTCTGCTCCATGGGTTGGTTGATCTTCCTGTCAGAAAGTTTCTCCTTGTTTCCAGGTTGAATCTCTCCTTGGGTCAGTTTCCATCCATTCTTCCTTCTCTGGCCTTCAGGGGCCTTGGAGAATAGCCTGACCCCCTTCCTCCTCTCCGGGGCAGCCCCTCCCTCAACTATTGGAAGACTTCCTCTCCTGTCTCCCCTGGTCCTTCTCTTCCCTAGGCTATCCAGGCCCAGGTCCTGTAACCGTTCTTCATTGTTTTAGTCTCCAGTCCCCTTATCATCCAGAGGGGCAAAGCAGAGCTGGGGGGGGCAGGGGGGGGGGGGGGGGGGCGGTGGGGGGGGGGCAAGGGCCTTTGGGGACGGAGTATAATTCCTAGCAAGTGAAGGCTGCAGCCTGAAGATGTCAGCGTTGGGGCATTTCTGTAGAAGTGCCTGGTAACTTTAGATCTGCAGCCGACAAGTGGAAAGAGAAGACCAGACAACGGAGGAGATGCTCCCGAGAGGCGCCGGCCGGCCCGCCTGCCTTCAAGCCCCGTGTGAGGATTGGGGCTGTTGAGAGTGTTGAAGAGAAAGGACTCTGGATCAGCAGGCTAGGATTAATCTGAAAGCTGGAAAGGAAGAGCTGACTCCCTCGGAAGAGGCAACGGCCACACTCTGCCCCGCTGGCTCAGAGCAGGTTGCCGGAGAGCCACTGAGAGGAGCCCCTAGAAGGAAGAGGGCAGCCTGGAGGCCATGCAGCCTCTCCAGCCTTTAGTATAGCGACTTCTCCCTCCCTCCCTCCCTCCCTCCCTCCCTCCCTCCCTCCCTTCCTCCTTCCTTCCTTCCTTCCTTCCTTCCTTCCTTCCTTCCTTCCTTCCTTCCTTCCTCCCCCCACCCCCAGAGCTAGGAAGAGGGAAGGTGGTGCCCATCATGGCTCTCCCTCCCTTTCATCCTCCACAGCCAGACAGGGTGGAAGGGTCTGAGAGTTTAGTTCAGTTTATTGTCCTTGCACCTCATGCAACGAAATCAAGCACCATCTTCAGTGCACATCATGACCATGAAAATAAACACAAACACCCCACACACTGAATTGAAAGCTCCTGACACTGCTACAGCCCTGCACTATACAGTGGAATTCAACAGAGCTCCTGCTCTGGGATAGAAGCTGTTTTTCAGCCTATTTGTCCTTGTTTTTATTATCCTGTACCGTCTGTCAGATGGTAGTAGTTCAAAAAAAGGGGGTGCCCAGGATGAAAAGGACCTTTGAGGATGTTTTGAGCTTTCTTAAGGCAGCAGGAGCTCTAAAGCTCTTCCAAAGAGGGGAGAGGGCAACCCAGGATCCTCTGGGCAATGATGTTAACCCTCTGGAGCGCTGTCCTATCTGCCCCTGTGCAATTGGCAAACCATACAGAGGTGCAGTAAGTTAAGATGCTCTCTCTGGTGCAGTGGTAGGACACTTCCCTGTGCAGTGCCCCCCATTTGTTGTTAATTCTTTTGTGATACTGTTGAGATCCCCATTAATGATACAATTGAACAGAGAGATCTGCCCAGTTTGTGTCCCATCTGCCCCTGTGCAATTGGCAAACCAGACAGAGGTGCAGTATGTTAAGATGCTCTCTCTGGTGCAGCGGTAGAAGGTCACCAGCAGTTTTCCATTCAGTTGTTTTCTGAGAAGCCTCAGGTAGTAGAATCTCTGCTGGGCCCTTTTGACCAGGGCTGCAATGTGGGCACCCCCGCCCCCCAGGTCAGGTGTTCTTTTATGGTAACACCCAGAAACCTAAAACTGGCCACTTGCTCCCCTCGGTCTCCCTTGAGAAGGCAGCAGTTCTGGAGAAGTTGCTAGCAGGTTCCTATCCCCTGGATCACAGCAAGGCAGGGAAGGAGCCCTGCAGCTACAAACCCTTTTCCCGTCTTCAGGCTCTCCTCGGTTTAGACTGGGATTGCCATGGCAGATCAAGGCAGCCTGCACTCCTGGCATTCCCCATTGCGGTCATTAACTGAGAATCGTCATGTGACTGGGTGGGAGTGAGTGGCGTTGAGTTGGCCACGCCCACCCAGGTTTTGGCTCCAGTTTTTTTTGTTCCTGTGGGAAACTGGTCAAAATGGCTCTTTTGAGTGTTGACCGGCTCCAATCCATTCCAGCTTTGGCCCCTCGGACCCGAGGCCTCTCTATGGTAACCCCCCCAACCAGTCTGGGCCGCAGCGCTCCAAGACCCCTGCCCTCCCCTGCCCCGGCTGCCCTCTTGCCCCCACCATGGATGAAGCATGCCCCTTGGGCCACACCTGGAGCTGCCCCCTGGCTTGCCTCTGCTTCTTGGGTGTGGCAGAGACCCTGCCCAGCCCAATCTTGGGTGGCCGCACCTGGGTGGATCTAGCGGGACCCGAATGGAGCTGGAAGCCGGGGGTGAGAGTGGAGGCCCTGGAGGGAAGGTGGCCAAGGGCAGGCGATGGGGGGGGTACTGCTGTAATTCTGGGGGGGGGGGGCGGGGGCGGGAGGGGCTGGGGGCGGGCAGCCTCCACTGGCCCTTTCTGGGCTTACTCTTGGGGTAGACCCGCAAGGTTGCTTTCCACCTTCAACCAGTTTTAATCAGAATAAGAGCTGGAGGGAATCTTGGAGGTCATCCAGTCCAGCCCCCTCCTCAGGCCCCCCTACTGTTTCAGACAAATAACTGTCTAACAGCCGGGAGTTCGATCCTGAGGGGCTTGAGATTTACTCAGCCTGCCTCCCTCTGTGGTCGGTAAAATGGGGACCCAGATGGTGTGTGTTGGGGGGGGGGGGGGGGGCTGACTCTGCCCAGAGGGGGCTGTGAAGCACTACGGAGCCCTGTGTGAGCATAAGTGTTATTGCTAAAATGGACTTTTATTGAGGGGGGGAAACGGCTTCGTGTCCCTGTGCTCCGCCTGGCTGCGTGTGCTGGCACATCGGGCCCGTGATTGGGCCCCTGCCTGGGGAGGGAAGTGGGGTCCCCTTCGGAGATAGTGGGGGGGGCAGCCCTGTGAAAGCCTTTCCAATCCAGGGGGTGTGAGAAGGGCTCTGGGCGGCCCCTCCGAGGAGCCCTGTCCCCCAGGGCTGGGGAGGAAGCTCTGCAGGCCTCAGGGGTCTCCGCGTCTGTCGGCTCCCTTCGGGGTCTCCTCCTCTCCTCCAAAGAGGCCTCTGCTCCTCATTCTGTAGCGGGACCTGGCAGGCCTCCCCGAACACAGCTGAGCGGGGGCGAGGCTCCCACTCTTTCACCCAGGGGGGGGCTGGGGGCGGGGGGGGCTTGGCAAGCATTTCCAGAGGCCTTGGGAGTCAGGTCCCACCTGAGAAGCCGGCCGGAGTTCCCCCTTTCCTTCCTTCTCTCTCCCTTCAAAAGCAGCCCTCCTCCCCGCCATCCTGTTTTGCGTCTCTGGACGCAGCCGTTTAAAGGGGGGGCGGGGGGGGCTTTGTTTCTGTACATTCAGATTTGTGTAACTAAGGGAGGCCCTTCCTGGGGCTTGACGGCCCGGTTCCACTGGGGAAGGCGTCCCTCCCAGCCCGTTCTGCCCATTTGTGGGGGCCGCGTTGGGTTCGTCGCAAGGCTTTGGGGGCTGAAGCCGCTCGCGTCCCCCTGGCAGGTGAGGGGCTGACCTGTGTTGGGGGCAGGAGGCCCCCGGCCGCTGGGCTGCCTCAGAAGGGCGGCCCTCCCTGCCCGTCTCCGCCTGCCGGATCCTGGATGTAAATAAAGGTTTTCCGACACTCGTTGGTTCCTTGCGTGGATTTCCTGGCTTCACGTTTGTTGCTTTCTTTTCAATATGCTGACGCTCTTCTCTTTGTTTCATAGCATTGAACAGATGGGTTGATTATTCTTTTCAGATATTAAAAAAGCAGCGGAAAGAAGAGAAATGAATAAGCCTCCCTCAAGGTCCAGCCCGTCGCGAAGGTAAAGTACCTGAAGCCCCCAGTTGCCTGGCTGAGCAGGCTGCCTCCCAGGCCCCGGTGGAGCCTCTCTCTCTCCGAGGGGAATCTGGGGGGATTCCCGGCCCGCTCCTGAGGGAGGGGAGCCTGCCTCTCTCTTCGACTCGGGGGCCTCCCTGCGGAGCGCCTCGGGTGGCCCCGCCATGGGCCGCCGTGGGGGTTGCGTGCGTTGAGGGCAGAGGCCTCAGGGGAGCAGCTCCCCTTACAGAGGCGGCCCTGGTTTGCCGCCACGCTGCCCCGAAGATGGACGCGAGATCTCCTTTGGCAGAGGATTCTTCGGCCCTCCCTTGGCACTCCAGCTGCGTTGTGCCCACCACATTGGCATCAGCACAGAAGACCCTTCCCACCAGGGCAGGAGCTGGGACGTACCGGGGGGGCTGGGGGGGCTGGGTCAAAGCGCAAGCACGGGCCCAAACGTTGCTCTTTATGCCGGGGGGGGTTGCGCACGCAGGTGCCTGAGCCTGCCTTTGTCTGGAGGCTGCGGGCAGCGCGCATGCGGGCGCCTGGGCCTTGCCTTGACCCAGTGCCGGTGAGAAGAAAGCGACAGTGTTCGGGGGGGGGGGGGCTCAACTGGTTGGAGTCCTTCCGGAGCCCCCGTCGCCTGCTCACCCCACATCTGCCGAGCGCAGCGAAGGGCATCGCCCCAACTTCTCTTCACGGTTCTACCTGCTGCTGTCCTGCCCCAAGTTTGCCTGGCTCCTCTTTAAGGCGACCTTGGGCATCCTTTCCGGTTCTCTGGCCCTTCTTGTGTCCCCCTGGAGTAGACGGTTCCTTTGGACTTGGCGAAATCAGACTTGCCTTATGTGAAGTCCAAGAACCCCCAAGGTCACCCTCTCAACCGGCAAAAGCTTTCGGTGAGGTGTCCCACGCACTGAAGTGCCATTTCCCCACGTCTCCTGGATTCTCCGCGGGTCGCTGTGCAGGGAACAGGGCCGGGGACACTTCCAGTTACCCTCCATGCTGCTGGTGGAGAGGCAGCCGGGGGTCCAGGAGCGCTGGTGCTGGGGTGGGGTGGGCTTCCGTGGCTGGTTTGGCCCTCCTGGAAGATGGTGGTCTCCCTGCCTGTCTCTCAGGAGTTTGGCCTCACCGGGGCCGTGTCGTGGCTCCTGGGAAGTGCCCCTCCCTCCCTCCCTCCCTCCCAGGATGCTCAGCTTCCACCAGCCACCGGCTTCGGTGGCCCCCATAAACTTCCTTTGGGGCCAAGGTGGAGCCACCCACCCACCCACCCTCCCTCCCTCCGGGGCTGCTCACGCCAGCTTCCTTGTGGGGCTGTTCATGCTTCAAGGAAGGGAGGGACGTGTAGGGCTGAAGGTGCCTCCCGGGCCACTTTCCGGCCTTGGGCATCTTCCATCGTTGTGCCGTGCGCGGCTTGCTTGCCTGCTTGCTCCGGAGAGGAGCACTAGACCGCCTGCTCCAGAGGGAGGCCGAGATTGCGCGGCTGCCTTTCTAGACTTGGACGTGGACACCTGCCTGGCTCACTCTCCTGACCCCCTTCCCTCTTAAGGGCTTTTCCCGGTCCGTCCGGCAGGGAGCCCGTCCCTTTCAGCGAGAGAGACGCGCGGAGGGACCGCTCTCCCAACCGGGGCAGCCCACGCCGGGATGGCAGGAACGGCCGAGATTCCCGGGACGGACGGGACCTTCGGGGGCGAGAGTTGCGGGGCTCCAGAGATCACCGAGACCCCAGGGATTCCCGGGACACGCAAGATTCCCGAGAGCCCCCCTACGACCGCTACAGGGAGCCCAGGGAGGCCCCCTACAGGTAGGTGCAAGGGGGAGGCAGGCTGCGGGGGAGGGGTCAGGCCCCCGCCCGGCTGACAGGCTGCTGCTGGCCTCTGCAGGAGAGAGGAAGGCTACGACCGCTATGCCCGGATGGATGACTATTGCCGCCGGCGGGAGGAGCCCTCTTACGACCGCTACGTGGCCCCCCGCACTGGGGACGCCCTGGACAGGCCCACCCTGAGCAACGAAGGTCAGGCAACGCCCGGCTGCCCAAGGGGGGTGGGGTGGGGTGGGGTGGGGTGGGATGGGGGAGGCGAGGGCCGCCCTCATGCTGGTGACCTTCCCCTGCAGAACGCATGAAGAGAGAGGAGAGGCGCCGGGAGGAGCTCTACCGCCAGTACTTTGAGGACATCAAGAAGTGCATCGATGTCGAGCGGCCGGTAGATTGCTCCGTCATCGTGGTCAACAAGCAGACCAAGTAGGTGGCCGGGGGATGGGGGGGTCGAGGCCATCCAACTGGGGGGGGGGCAGGGCGGGCCAGGGGCTCCTTTCAAGGGCCCTGACGGGGCCCTCTGGTGGACGCTGTTCTCTGGGCTTCTGCCCGACGCAGGGATTACGCCGAGTCGGTGGGGCGCAAGGTGCGCGACCTCGGCATGATGGTGGACCTGATCTTCCTCAACTCGGAGATGTCCCTGCAGCAGGCCCTGGACGACGTCAGCCAGGGGGGCTCGGCCTTCGCCATCGTCATCACCCCCCAGCACCAGGTCCACCACTCCTGCACCGTCAACATCATGTTCGGCACCCCGCAAGGTAGGGGCTCCTCAGCCGGCCCCACCCGGGGCATCCAGGGAGGGCCAGGCAGGCCCCCCCCCTCCCCGGCGCTTGGCTTGAGCCTAGCTGGCCAGCTTAGCAGTTTGGTTCAGCAGGACATCATTGGCATCGTACAAACTGCCCGTGGTGTGTGTGCGTGTGTGTGTGTGTGTACATGTGTGTGTGTGGGTGAGGTTGTGTTTGTGGTTGACAGAGAACCTCTCTCTGACCTCAGTTAAGTCTCCGCTCCACCCCACGCCCCCCACCCACCAAAAAGCAGCCTCGAGCTGCGGCACGAGTCGAGCTGCCTCCAGCGCTCTTTGCCTTTGGATCCCGGGTGGGTCCCGCCCTTCCTCGCCCTCCGAACTCAGCGGCCCTCCCAAGTTGGGTCATTCGCCTGCTTCCTCGTCTGGAACTTTATTGTATGGAAGAAGTTGAGGGGGGGGCTTGACTCCGGGGTCTTGGCCAGGAGAGCCTTGGCAGGGCCTGGCCAGGGAGCCTCCAGAGAGGTTAAGGAGCACAGAGTGGGGAGGGGGGTGCAGGAAGCCCCTCCCTCAGTCCGGTCCCTGGGCCTGCCGGGGTTTATCCTCCTGCTTGATACAGGTGGGTTTTCTTCCGGGTTGACTGATGGGGAGGGGGGGTCAGGGCAGAGAAGTGGGCGTGGTGGTGGGGGACTCAGGGCGGCTTCTCTGCCTCCCACGCAGAGCACCGGAACATGCCGCAGGCGGACGCCATGGTGCTGGTGGCCAAGAACTACGAGCGCTACAAGTCGGAGGTCCGCGAGAAGGAGCGGGAGGAGATTGCCAGGCGGGCGGCCAAGATGGCCGACGAGACCATCCTGCAGGAGCGGGAGCGATCCCTGCCGGCCGACGAGGGTCTCCGCGCAACCCACCCCCCAGCCATGCAGGCCCTCCTGAACCTGCTGGCGGACAACCGCTACCTGACCGGGGAGGAGACGGACAAGATCATCAACTATCTGCGGGAACGCAAGGAACGGCAGCTGCGCGCCACCACCGAGCCCCTTTCCGGTAAGCCCTGCCCCCCCGGCCCCTTGCACAGAATGCTGGGGGGGGGGGCTGGGCAGTCGAGGTGCGCAAGGCTGTGGGGCAGGGCTCACCTTGTGGCTTCCCTCCTCACAGCTTCGCTTCCCAGGCAGACGATGGGAGCCGCGTCGGGGTCCTTGGGGCCCGCTTCCCAGGGGCACCAGAGCGTCCAGCCTCTGCCGGCCTCCGCCACGTCTACCGGGGCCTCCAATCCTCAGCAGGAGCTGCAGGCCAAGATCCTCAGCCTCTTCTCCAGCGGGGCGGCCAGCGGGGCGGTGAATGTGGCGACCGGGGGCGGCTCCGGGGTGGGGGGGTCTCCAAACACAGGGTTTACTTCCGGGCCCAGCACGCCTGGCCGTGGCCCCCAGCTGGGCGTGGCTGGAGGCTCCCAGTCTCAGCAGCGAGCTTCCTCCCAGGGCTCCCAGTACTCCAGCCACGCGGGGTCCTCCAGGGCGGGGGGCGGTGCCCGGCCTTCGGCTCCCCCACAGCCCTCCTCCCAGACCCACTACCAGAGCCGGGCCCCTGCGCTCAACAACACGGCTGCCTCGCGCCAGGCTCCCTCCCTGGGGATCAACTTCGACAACCCCAGCGTGCAGAAGGCCCTGGACACCCTGATCCAGAGCGGCCCCGCCCTCTCCCACCTGGTGAGCCAGTCGGCGGGCCAGTCCCGGGCGGGGGCCCCTGCCCAGCAGGCCTTGGGCTCCTACCAGCGGCATTACTGATGCCCGCTGGGCTCTTGGCTGCCCGCTGCTGAATGTTCTGGAAGGTGCATGTCCCCCTCTCCTCCCTGGGCAGACGAAAGGGCTGGAGAAGGCAGCGAGCCCCCCCCCCCCCCCCTCCGGGCGGCCCCCCCCCCCCGCCCGCTCCTTCCTTTTCAGCTGGGAAGGGGACCACGAAGGGCTGCACTCTCCCAAGCAAGAAGGAGCGGTCCAGAGCTGGCAAAAGGGGTGGGGGGAGGGGGGCCATAGGGGCCGATCTGTGCGTGTTTCCTGGCTGGGCTGTGCCGCACCCCCCACCCCCCACCCCCCCTTTCTGTTTAATGTTGTAAAATTTGAAAGTTAAGTTTTGGGGCAGCTCAGATTCTCTTTCCCGGGTGGCTCTTGGCGGAGGCCGGTTCTTTGATGGTTCGGTTATGTAGAGGCAGGAGGATGTAACTTTTTAATAAAACTTACATAACGTGTGTGTGTGTGTGTGTGTGTGTGTGTATGTAGGTGTACGTATGCGCCCACGTAGATCCTAAAAGTGGCCGCCTCAGTTATCGGGGGGGGGGGGTTCTTTTGTGTCACGAAATGCCACGGGTTAGCCGCCAGGGCACCCACGTCCCCCCTTGGCCCACCAGGGCTGGTCTGGGGCCACTTGGCGGTTCTGCCCCCAGCCCAGTTCACGGGGAGTGGGGGCTCCCACCTTTCCCTCCCAGGGCGCTTCTCCAAAGGAAACTGGAAGCCAAGTGGAAGAAGGAGGGGGAGGAGGAGGAGGAGGAGGAGGAAGAAGAAGAAGAAAGAAACAACGACCACCACCACCCAGGAACTCCAGTGGCCTTTGGGAGGACCAGGACCTCCCTGGACGTGTCCTGCCTTTCCTGAACCCAAAGGGGGGGCGGGGGGGGCTTTTCTTTTAGGATCAGCTCTTGCCCGGCCTGAAGGTGCCGCCAGCCTGGGGGGGTGGGGGGGCTCCTTCCCTCTTGCATTCGCTTTGGGGCTCTCCAGCCCTTGGCTGGGCCTTGTTGCCCGGCGGCCTTGACTTCCTGCTCGCTCGGTTGCTTTAAAAATGACCAGGCGCCTAGAATTGTGGCCGGCTTTCCCGGGGGAGGGAGGGAGGGAGGGGCGGTGGGGCCCCAGTCCACCCTGCGAGCATCCCAGGAGGGCGGCCTCCTCTTCCCTGAGGCTGGGAGAGAAGAGGCCCTGAGCACCGCCTGGGATTCCACACCTTCGTTCGCAAAAGATTCAGGCCAGCGAATAGGAGGAGAATAATTGGACCCGGAAAGGCCTGAACAAGCGTTCCTCCTCCTGGTCCCCCCACCCCCAAACGGGCCACAGCTTCTCTCTGATTCAGGGGGTTTCCGTCATTTACCCACCGCCTCCTTTCAATGACCCTCCAAGGTGCCTTTCAGTCCAGAATAGCTGCCAACTACCTGGCAGGTGAAGTGACTGAAAGGAAAAATGGGGGGGGGGGGGGCAGGAGGGGGGAGGCGAGGGAAGCCTGGCAGTGAAGTTGAAACGGGAGCTGCTGCGGGCGGGACGGGGGACGGTGGTTCCTGGCCGCCCTTGGGAGCCCAGGCCGAGCAGGGAGGCAGCGGCCTGCATTGCTCTGGGCAGGAGTGCTGGGGAGCAGTGGGTGGGCCAAGCGGAGAGGCGGGTGAAATCCAAGGCCTTCAGGATGATGGGCTATGGTGTCCTGGGACGTCTGAGAGGGATGGTGGAAGTCACGGGGGGGAGGGCTGCTGCCTGGAGCGATGAGCACCAGCCTGGCCTGGCCCACATTCTGGTTCCTCAGAAGCCCAGGCCAGCCCAGTTTCCCTTCTGTCCTGCAAGGGGCCTTGGGGGGAGGGGGGGCAGCCGCTGGCAAGGAGCACCGGAGCCCCTGCCATGCACCGACCGACCCACACCCCGATTGGGGCTCCCCCCTTGGGCTCCCGTCGCTCCCCACCCTCCCTCCCGGGACAGGGCCGCCTGCTTCCAGCATTCCCACCCCCTGGAATTGGGGGGCGGGCAGGACAGGGACCCCGGGGGGAGGGGAGTCTGCTGGCATGATGCAGGCTCTGGAGAGGGCAGAATGGGCCCGCGGGGCTTCCTCTTCCCCGCCAGGCACCCAGAGTCCGGCTTCGGAGGGAGGGGGCTTCAGCAGCCACGGGGCCCAGGGGGGTCCCTGCCCACAGGGGCTAAAGGAGGCGGGTGGCTCTCCTGCCGGCTCAGGCCCAGGGAAGGGGAAAGCGGGGCAGCTGCCCCTTCAGCTCCACCACGCTGGTGCGGTGGAAGAGCGGGCCGGCAGCGCCATCTTGCGGAGGCTGCCTGGAAGAGGCAAGCTCCAGGCCCCCAACTCCCCTGAGAGGCCCAGGCCGGGCTCGGCCCTTGTCAGAGGGGACCAAACCGCTCCAGCAAGGAAGTGGGAACAGAATAAGAGAGCTGAAAGGGACTTTGGAGGTCTTCTAGTCCAGCCCCCTGCTACAGCAGGAGATCTATCCCGTCCTGTCCGATCTCTTCCGGTTGAAAACCGCCAGTGATGGAGCCCCCACAGGTTCTGGAGGCAGCCGCTCCGCTGGTTAATTCTTCCCCATGATCAGAGCATTTCTCCTTCGTTCCAGGCCGCTTCCATCCTTCATTCCTTAGTTCCGTCTGTTGCTCCTCGTCCTGCCTCCCTTCCTTCCTTCAGGGGCTTTGGGGAGTAGGTTGAGCCCCCCGTTTCTCGGGGCAGTCCCTGGAAGGCCGGACAGTTGCAGGAGGGAAGGAAAAGGTTCTGGGAAGAGGGATACCTGTCCCTGGAATAGCCCCCAGTTAGTGAACGTCTCCTGCTCTCTGTGCATGAGCAGAAGGCCGAGGCCCTTGGGAGCCTCTCGCTGCTCCCCCTGGCTGGCCTGGATGGCGGAGGGGTCGCAAGCAAGGGACACGGCCGCTCCCTCCCTCCCTGAGCCTGGAGGCCACCATCATGGAGCCTTCTCACAATGAATCCCCCAGTTGAGGATCGGGGGAGAGCCCACCTGCAAGAACGTTTGCACCAGGCTCGCATCCCTCCCTCCCTCCCTCCGGTCGCCCCTTTTCCAAGGCCAGATGTCCTCACCTCTTCGGCCTTTTGGGGGGGGGGGACACAACAGTGGCCGATTCAGGCCAGCCCCTTTTCAGCACAGAGCTGACCTTTTCCCGCCACAGAGGGCGACCCCTCGAGTTCCCCACGGCTGCTTTTTCCACCACCAGGGCTGGTCCTTTTTCAGCTGGCCTGCTTCCCCCGACCGACCGAGATAGGAAGACGATGGCGGCAAGGCAGCTCCCCTCCCCGTGGGGGTTTGCCTCCTGCCCCCCAAGAGTGCTGCCCGTGTCCTTCCACTCGGCTGGGCTCCTTTCTGTGCCCCGTTGCCTCCCTCCCCCCCTTTCCCACTTCCCTCACTGGTTTCCTTCTTCCTCGATTGGGAGACAGCCCCCCGGTTCCCTCCTGCCCCCTCCTGTCTCTTGTTCATGAGCTCCCCCGCTTTATTTTCTTCCTCCTCCTCCTCCTCCTCCTCCTCCTCCTCCTCCTCCTCCTCTATGTGGCCTCCTGAAGGACCCTCTTCTCCCTTCACCGTGCTCTGAATTGGATCAGCGTCCAGTAAAGGGGAGCCTTTGTAGCTCCTGGTGTTCCCTCAGCTCGGTTTTCTTGCGGACGTTTCACGACCCAACGAGGTAACATCGTCAATGTCACTGATCATTAGCACCGATGAGGTTCCCTCGTTTGGGTCATGAAAGGTCTGCCAGAACACGAGCAAGCCCAGAGAGCACCAAGGGCCACCCCAGCCCCTCTTTTCCGCCAGACCCCCAACCCCCAGCAGACGGAGCCCCTTCCCGCTCCCTGGGACTCCCCAGGCTGCGTCAGAGCACCTCACTGGCCCTGCAGGATTTGCATCCTGCGCCGCATCCCGTTCCCCAGCAGCCCCTCAGGAGCCTCTTCCGGGGGGTCTCGACCCCAATCCTGCCTTTGCAAGGGAGGTGCTGCTCCTAGAGGCTTTCTGAACACACGGCCCCCAGGGGCAGCCAGAGGACCCCTGCAAGAGTGCGGGTGGCACAGCCAGGTTGGAGGATTGAGTCTCTCTTACACATGCACGCACACACGCCTTCCGTCAGGGCAAAGCGTTGCAGGCGCCAGTCTGGTTTGGGGATCTAAGAAGACACATGGTGGCGGCGGGAGAACCCTGAGAGCCTGACTGAGGTGGGGCTGCTTGGGGCAGCCCGGAGGACAACAGTTGCCACAACCAGCAAGGGGAGGGTGTAATAAAATCCTTTTATTGCATTTTGTGCAGACAGAAGTCTAGAAAACAAAGTATACGGTATAAGCCTCAACACAAGCGAAGAGGGGCTGTCGCCCCCCCGGATACCTAACAGCACCGGCCACACAAACACTCGCGGAAAGTAAACGCAAGCCCAATGCGCCTCCCTGGGGGGACAACGGGGGTTATTTACAAAGAGCAAAGGGGGGGGGGCGGCGTTGGCATTGCGCTGCACAAGGATTCCCTAGAACACAAGGCCTATGAAGAAGCTCACGACAGCTACTGCAAGATCGCACGGGAGTCAAAGTCACTCGGATGGACATAAAACGGGAGCTACGGTGACTGATTATAAAGGTACGTCATGAGCCGACTGGTGCCACATTCATAACAAAGATATTGCACAGGAGCACGGAAAGAAGAGCTGCTGCCGACCCAGCCGTGGGCCCTCCTCGCTCGCCCCCGGCCGCCTCGCTCACGCGCCCTCCGGCCAGGAGGGGCGGCCTCCGCCTGGTGAGGAAGGGGGTGCAGCAACAGTACAGTGGGCTGCAGTCTGGATCCGTGGGGGGGGGGGCAAGCGTCCGAGGCCCCCTCCCTGCTTTCCCAGAGCACGAGGCGGCCTTGGCGTCTTCCGTGCAGGGCTGCAGTTCCTCCTCCGGCTTTGGTCAAGGGGCCCCTGGATGCCCACATACCAGAGGGCAGCAGGAGCCAGCGCCGGGACCAAACATGCAGGGTCGGGAGTGGGGGCATGCAATGCTCCGGCTAGCCGGCTGTGGGGCCCTCTGGAACGGAAGGCCGGGAGGAGGCTTGTGGGCACAGAGGGGCAGCAACCGCCAGGAGCCGAGCCTGGTGCCTTCCCCCGGGACGGCCAGAGGGAGGCTGGGCCTCTGCCACCAAGCGAGAGAAGCCTGCCTGCCTTCCGGGCTGTGTGTGTGTGTCGGGGCTGCGTCCCTTGGAAAGTGCTGACGAGGGGCCTGCTCTTGGAGGGCAGAGTGCGTGTGTGCACGTGTGTGTGTGCGTGTCTGTGTGTGTGTGAGAGAGA